TACTAAAAGAGCAAGAAGGAGAAAGAGATCATATAATAACATATATTTTAATTACAGTAAATAAAAATGTTTTTGTTTGTCTATGTCTGGAGAGTCACACGTTTATTATAAATATGCATTTATTTATCTATCTATCCATATATATATATATATATATATATATATATATATATATGTGTGTGTGTGTGTGTGTGTTAACTATAAGGCATTAAAATCAGTTAATGCTACACAACCCTGACACACACTATACAATATAAGCTTTAAAGTGGAGGGGGAGGGGTGAATATTCAGAGATGTTTCTGTGTGGGGCCAAAAAGGTGCACCAGCTGCCGTTCATGAATAATAGAACATGCAGAACATGATTTAATGTACACAGAAAAAATACTAGCATATCCCCATGCCTCTGATTAAATGTAAATGTAAAATAAATTGATAAAAATACAGTGTCCACATATATGTACTCACTAATCACTTTCTTGATTTTTTTGACATAATATTACATAAAATTTACAGTCATTTACAGACATAGTTTTAGTACATTGGTGAAAAGTAGTGTGCTACTTCATAAATAAAAAGCTAAAAAAGTAGGATTAGGCCTACCACAATCACTGATCTCTTGTAGGCTATACATATGCATATGTTTATTTATATATTATTATAGTTCTGGGACCACCATAGACTGTATAAAAATTATTATAGATCTGTGACCACCATAGACTGTATAAAAACAGGTGACCCCATGTGTTCTGTACTAGTAAAGTGTGTTTTGATTGTGATGGGGTGACAGCGCCTCCTCCAGCACAGGAGGAGAAACACACACGCTCTCATCTCAGCCATAGACTCGCACATCAATACTGCTGTCAATGCTTAGTATTAAACCTAGGCAAAGTAGTTAATGATACCACTGTGTCAGCGGCCCAGATTCTTTATCACTGTGACCACCCAGATATATATTGTTTCCTAAAGTCTTCATCAATGCATTGTTATTTCATCTTACATTTATTACATGCAAAATTACACAAAATTAGAGCCAGAAGGAGCGAGGTTGATGATAAATAGAGTAAAGGATGAAATGATGAAAGGGTTAATGAGCTTACCATGTCATACACATTAAGAATAACGGGTTCATTTGCCATCCTGAGAGAGAAGCGCGCGCGATCCCTTAAAATAACGGGCGTTTATTGCTCTCGAGACAGCTGCCCTCCTCGCGCACCTGGGTGTCGGTTCCAAAGAAGATTAAAACACACAGCAAAATCGAAACGCCAACACCCAAAAGACCAAAACACGATATAAATTATTCGCTGTTGTCATTTTATCCATCAAAGAGTCATTATGAGATGTTTAGGGGGGGCTCGCGGGCCTAATCACGTTACTAAAGAAGAAACAGCGGCAGCAAAGGTAGACACGGTCGAGGAAAGGCAACAGGGCATCAGCTTCCATCAATGGTGAATCTAGCGGGAAAAAACAGGCACCTGTGGCCTCCGGGTGAGCAGCGCGCGGACAGTCTCCGGTAAGCGCGAGGAGAAGAGAGCACAGGCACCGAGTAAAACGGATTTCACCGATTTTCAAGGGTAGACACTAACCAAAAAAGTCCTAAAAGGGAGCAGATGATCGGCGATGCACAACGACTGGCTGTCAGTCAAATCAGGAGTTTGAATTTCCGTTAAGATGACAGATATTCCATATAGAATGTTGCTGTAAAGAAACGCGCTCTCGCGCGGGTTTTGCCGCTTGTCTGAGCGCAGGGGTCGCAGCTGTGATGTTGAAGGGAGCTTGGTGCAGTCCCGACCGCAACAGCCATCAACGCCGCAGTCCCGGAGTTTGCTCTCATGGAGGCCGCGCTGAGCAGCACTGACGCGGGGTGAAAATTCTTAAGCACGGTTCACTGTATTGATGATGACATCACTCTGGCCGGGTCACGAGCGTGAGGATTCTAGTGTGCACTAGAATAAACGGAGCGTGCGATTATTACATCATCATCATCATGATCAGTACGCAGCGCGTCCAACATCCCCTTCCATCCGCGCCGAGCGTTATATCGGGGCGGGGGCGATGCGTTATTCCGATCTACAAATATAACAGGCTTCTTTCTGCTCTCTAAAGAAAGACGCATTCCCAGAATTCTCGCAAGCCAGAATATTTATTTAGATTTTGTTTAAAAGGTTAGAATCTTTTTATTTTTGTTATCAGTTATGCACATTGGAGGGATTTATATGGTATTTGTGTTAGTTAATGTTTGCTGCATTTTAGTGTCACCTAATGATGTATGACTGGCCACACTTAACATGAATTTAACCTTTTATTTATTTTTTTGACAGTGTATCATTACAGAAACTCATTTGAGATAGTGCTCATCACTCTCATACGGATTATTTGTGACAAAGAGAGGATGGGAGTTAGCTTTAATGCTTAATATGTGTGTAACCCATAACATGGTGAAGCTGTCAGCCTTCATCTAGGTTTAGGCTATTTGATTGATGGTGTCTGAGCAAAATTGCACTGTTAAGGCCCGGGTATACTTCACTTAACGCGTTCCGTTCCGTCTCGCGCACAGCCGCGTCCGCACAGCTTTCAAAGTATACTCAACCGCGGATGAGTGTTTTTTTACAGTCTATGGTGCGGACGGACGAGCTCGACACAGGCGCAGTACCACCTACTTGACTTGCGCTCTGTCTCAACCTATGGTCTCAACTTTCACCTCGCGCATGCGCTGTTGTACGCGGACCGTCCGCGCGGTCTCAAAAAATCGCCTGCACGCGGACGGGGTGCGCGGCTGTCCCCGAGCCCTCCTGATGACGAAAATGACGTAACGCGGACGGTGCGCGGACGCGGACGGCCGAAGTATACCTTGGCCTTTAGGTTGTAGCCTACAGTATGTGCGTCCATATGTGCTTCTGAATCGACATCCCATTTCTCATAAATTGTCAGCAGAAATCTTGTCTAGAGTACAGTAAGCGCATACAGGAGTGTGTTAGACATTATTTTAGACATTATTATTAGAGCAGAATCTTTAGCTGTCATTTGTGCTGATTGTCCAAAGCGACTCACAGAGCATTTATTATAATTCCTTAACTCAAAATGGTCGTTAAGCCTATACTGAATCCACAACCTTTGTTTTAAATGCCGTAAATAACCCGAATGTTTATTGTAAATAGCCCATATCATTAATCATCCTGATGCCACCACCCTTTCTGCTTCAGCCATGTGGTGTAATGTAATATAAGACTCCAGAGGAAGCTCTGCATTATCGTTCTCTTTTGTTTCTCTCTCCTACTTTAAGTGCATTCAGCCACTGCTGCCTTTGAGAGTATTGATTTCTGATGAGGAGGACTAATACACACACTGACATACACATACACACTGACACGAACATGCACATACCAGTACTCATTTGTCAAAAGCATCTGCATCCGCTCTCAGACAGCGGTCTATCCATTTAGACAGAGAGACAGCAGCAGTCCATCCACTCACACAGACAGCATGTTATCCTGAGTCAATCATCTGAATGGGACCCAGATACAGAAAATTCTCTGCATTTCATCCATTTCTAACAAAAGAAATTGATGAGCTAGAGGAAGCTTCTTGGTTTTTCACAGTACAAAATATTTTGAATCTGCAGTCAATAGTCATGTTTATGGTGGCATATATTTATGGCAGGAAGGATCCATGCTTCATGTTGTTATAACACCAAATTCCGACCCTGCCATCCAAATGTTGCAACAGAAATTGAGACCCATCAGACCAGACAACCTTTTTCCAGTTTCTATTGTCCAAGTTTGGTGAGTCTGTGTGAACTGTAGCCTCAGTTTCCTGTTCTTAGCTGACTCGGGTGGCCTGTTGCATATCTGCTTTAAGGTTTGGCATGCTTTGTATTCAGAGAGATGCTCTTCTGCATACCTCGGTTGTAATGAATGATTATTTGAGTTACTGTTGCCGTTCTATTAGCTCAAACCAGTCTGGCCATTATCTAGGGCACTTAGATCTTCGAGTCACTTGCTTCTAACTGTGCCACGGTGTCGGTACAAATCAAAGGGTGATCGGGCTTTTTCTGTGGTTGGCCCCAAGCTTTGGAATGGTCTCCCCTATCATGTGAGATCTGCTCCTTCTTTGGACATTTTTAAGTCTAGACTTAAATCTTATTTTTACTCTTTAGCCTTTGTATGCGTGTAGTTGTTGTTTTTATTAGTAGATTTGTTTGATCATTGTACAGCACTTTGGATCAATGTACATTGTGTTTAAATGTGCTTTATAAATAAATGTTGTTGTTGTTGTTATCCTCTGACCTCTGGCACTGACAAGGCATTTTCACCCACAGAACTGTTGCTCACTGACCATTTTCTGTAAACCCTGGAGATGGTTGTGTGTGAAAATCCCAGTAGATCAGCAGTTTCTGAAATACTCATACCATCCCCGTCTGGCACCAACAACCATGCCATGTTCAAAGTCAGTTAAATAACTTTTTTTTTTTTCATTCGGATGCTCATTTTGAATTTCAGCAGATCATCCTGACCATGTCTACAGGCCTAAATGCATTGAGTTGCTGCCAAGTCATTGGCTGATTAGATATTTGCATTAACAAGTAGTTGAACAGGTGTACATAATAAAGTGGCGGGTGAGTGTATATTATTTTATCTTTTTATTCCCTGTATATGCTGACAGTGTCAACACAGGAAATCAGAATTTATGTAAAATCCTGAAGGGGGCAGTAAAGACAGTTATGCAGCTGACTGTGATGATGTATGTTTTTATCATCACTAACCTTTGCCTGTGGCCTAAGGTCAACATGTCCTTCCACAAAACGAATTCATTTTAATAGCTTGTATTAATTTAGGTAAATGTAAATTTATAAACACACTTATTAATTCATGTTCATTCCTTTTAAATTATTCAACTTAAATGTAAAGAAATGCACTCATAAGTACATGAAGTCAACAATTTTAAGCCATTTGAATTGTTACATACACATTTCAAACCATGATAAGCACACAAACATAAATCTGTTTTTTCAAACAAATGGTTTATTCAATGCATGATGCATGCGAATGAGTAACATTATTCTAACTGTGAAACGTGAATGAGCATTTCATGAAGACTTTACATATGGTTTCATCCATACAGACCTGCAGAAGAACTGACAACACAAACACACATTTGTCAGTTACAGAACAGATAGTACAGTCAGAAACAGCGCAAGAAAAACTGCAGACTGCAGATAGGGAGCAGCACTGAGACCAGCAGCTCAATGTGGCAAGGCACGAGTTGAGAGAGGTGCAGAAAAATATTAGTGTACGAGACGAGACGATTCCAGAAACACAAGCCATATACAATATTAACAATATATCATTTTCATTCTGATTGTGAGTTCTAAGAAGTGTCACATCTAGTTTGTTTTTTCCCCTGAGGGAGGAAAACCAAATACAAGGCCAAGCCCTGATGGCAAATAAACAGTTTGAACGTCTTTACCGCCTCCACCACTACCGCTGCCACATAAACGCCGCTCCTGCATGCTTGGACATGGATGAGTGATAAATTAAAGTATTAAAAAAAGAAAACGCTGACTCCATTCACATCATGCATGCTTTCAAACATACTCTTGCACAAGCAGGTACCTGAGAAGACCTCAAATAATGTAATGGCACACCTTGGGCTCATTCCAGCACTCTGGCAAGGCGAGAAAAATCATTCCTCTGTGGGACTGTCTTCTGCCAAGAAACACAGTTCCACCTCGGCCTCTGTCTCCTGCCTGTGGCCCCTCTGTCTAGTTCAGAGATTTCTGCTGCTGTTGATCCAAACACCGTGCTCATCATCCCTGTTCCCTTATTCCACCCTGCAATGTCATCAGGCATGCTGGGTATTCTGTTTAAGCGCCAATGATTATCACCAAACTAATTGTGAAAACCTGTTACAGCTACAAGTGTGTGGTCATAACATGGTCTAAACAATTAAAGAAAATCTGCAAGTTCTGCTAACATTAACTGGTTTCCATTTTCGCTCCCTGTTAATGTTTGGGCCTTCAGCAGAAACAGTTCCAAAAAAAAAAAAAAATTATGAGTCTGTAAAATGTCATGTAATCATGTAATGGGTTAAAACGGGCCCCGGGACGCCCGGGGGTGCAACTGAAGGCGTTTGTAAGCGATGAAACCTGCTGCTGTTATAACTGCCAGGGCGACTACAGTACACATTGTCCATGTGCCGAAAGCAGATGAAGATTCTCCATCGGCACGAGAGCTGGTGGGGCCGTTCTGCAGGTTTGGCTGTAGACATAAACACGTGTCAGTGAAGCTGATTAATTTACAGTAAAATCTCAAGAGACGTTATCAACATCATGATCGCCATAGCCTGCAGTACTTACTCCCTGCTGTACTCGAAGATGCACATCCTCTCCTGCAGACCGAAACAGCTCCACTGCTGCACTATGAGACAGATTGTCCAAATTCTGGCCATTTATCTACACACAAAAAAAACCAAATCAAATATACATGATTAATTTTAAAGTTGTCATATCAAGACATCTAATTTTCCTTAATATTTTGAAATATTTTGTATATACACTATTTCGTTCAAAAGTTTGGGGTCGGTAAGTTTTTTTAGTCGGCAGGGATTTGTCAAAAGTGACAGTAAATACATTTACAATAATATTATTCATCAAAGAATCCTGAAAAAAATGTATCATGGTTTCCATGCAAATATCAAGCAGCACAACTGTTTTCATATAAAATAATAATAATAAATGTTTCTTGAGCAGCAAATCCGTATATTAGAATGAATTCTGAAGTAACAGCTGCTTTGGCAACTCAGGAATAAGCTGACATTTAAAATAGAAAACAGTTAATTTATATTGTAATAATATTTTACAATATTGCCATTGTATTACGTAATATTACTTAACATTTAAAAGCAGTTACCGACCACAAATCTCTGGGGGAAAAAAGTATATATAAGAAAAGAAAAATATATTCACTTTTGTTCTGGTAACACAACCACAAAAAAAAGTGCAATGCTGTAGTATCATTATTGTGAGGATCTGCATTAAAGCTGAGTAAGGTCATCCACAGGATTACAGCGAGCATTGATTTACAATAAATCACTCATGTACAGTTGTGCTGTTGTACAGTGAAGTGGCAGTATTGATTCAAAGTTAAGTATAGAGATAGTCAAGCATTAAGTATTAGTAAAGTATGATTTGTTAACCATGTACAGTCAATTACAGTGGTTTTACCGCAATAATTTTGTCTCCCTCCTGCAGACGTCCATCCAGTGCAGCCGCTCCATCTTCTTTGATTTTTGCCACATAGATTCCACTGTCATTCATAATATACTGCTGGTCAACTCCACCCACTATATTAAACCCCAGACCTGTCACAGACAGAGAGGATGTTACACACAGCACGTGTTTGAACTACTTACATCATTACACTGAGCCTGAAATACGTTCAGAGGGCCTTAATGTGATTTCTGAAGAAATGGGGAAGGGGGAAGAAACAAGACATGATCCCAGCCAGACGTCACTTCTTAAGATTGTTTCTCTTTTTAAACAAACACAGAAACATGGAAAATATCACTGTCAAGTGCAATCCTTGCAGTACAAAATATTTCATATCTTCCACAAAGGCTATGATTTACTCATACTATAATTTAACATATAATGTAAGAAACGTTAGAGGAATCATTTACCTAATAATGAAAATTTGATGAAAAAATTACACACCCCCAAGCCATCCAAGATGTAGCTAAAATATGAGTCCTCTATCCATAATATTGTTTTCTCCAATGAAGCAGTCATGAATCCGGAGAGAATATTTTTGCCAGAAATGATGGTTTAAAGTTAAAACACCTTAATGATGGAACTGTTTATTACAAACACACGGCTTTTCAGTTCAAAAGACATTTCACAGGCCGGAGTTGGGAGGATTATTGTGATGTTTTTATCAGCTGTTTGGACTCTCATTCTGATTGCACCCATTCACTGCTCTATCCATTGGAGAGCAAGTGATGTAATGCTACATTTCTCCAAATCTGTTCTGATGGAAGAAACAAACTCATCTACATCTTGGATGCCCCAAGGTTGAGTAAAATTTCAGCAAATTTTCATTTTTGTGTTAACTATTCCTTTAATTAGTAACCAAAAATTGTTTGACATTATGCAGTAGATAAAGAACCACCATTTCTGTCATTTTCACCAGAATAACCAGTTATGACATTCTGATTAAACATGCATGAATCCTTCACAATAGCATCTATAATATGGATTTTGAAACTAAATAAAGTACAGCATGCCGACTTTAAAATGTAGTTTATTAAAGACAAATCAAAATATGTTTGGTAAGACAACGGAGTCTGGAAAAAAAAAAAAATCTAAATTTAGCAGTCATGCCTCACAGCACACTTGAGGACAGTTTTGCACCCGATATTGTTTTACAGTAAGATAATGTGTTAAATATTATATCAGTACAGTGAGGGGTCTAAATATCATTTCATTTATCGGGGATCAAAAACAGGATATTTTCTTTCCAATACTGAGAATTTGATTGTCTATAGGGGTGGGTCTGGAATTAAACTAATTTGACCCATAGTGTTGATGATGTATTATGTCTCTGCTATTGTTCTCAGTCATACCATTTAATCACAAGTCAAAGTCCAGGGCTTTCAGAGCAGCCCAGTCCATGCCCTCGCAGAGGTCACACACACCAACGCATTATATAACAGTTTAATCAAAGTCAACAAGAAGCTGAGACTGTCCGCTCTCAGAAACTGAACTAATGGATCGGAACCAGACCCACTACTCCTAAATTAAAAAAAAAAAAAAAAACAGCCAAATATAGTTGATGCTTATATATATGCTTGAATCAGTCGGAAATGTGTCTGTTTGTACATGTCGGTCCATTATGCTGATAGCGTATTGTGCTGGTTCTGATCTAAACTTAACTTTCGCTTTCATAACAACACCAACGTCTATTAATAAACCCGATCTGATCGTCTGCAGAACACATTCGGGTCCGGACTGTCTGTTCGGGTTCACTACGCCAGTTATGTCAGCATTTCTTGCGGGAGCGGACCGGACCAACAGCACCGAACCGCCAGGCTGAACTGTTTCAACAGTGCAGGAGAAGTCGAAGAGAGAGACAAACTTACCAGCCGGGCCTCTTTTCAGCGTCATTTCTACAACGCTCGGCGCGTTGTGTGCGGATCCGTTCATGCTGTCGGAGAAGTTTCACTTTTTATTCCCGAACAGCTAAAACCCTCCTAAAGCGTGCGGAACCCCGCCTGCTTCCTCTAATGCTGCCGGGATACGTGCGCACCCGCCACTGCCCCCTAACGGACACCACCGGAACACTTTCACAGTGCACTGCAGTGAGGGGAAGCCAGACTAATTTCCGAGAATCGGTTCTTGCAAACAGTTCAACACTGGTTAAAAAAATTGATTCGGTAATTACGTCATGACGTGTCCCCCTGACATTCCAGCGTGGCATTAAAAGGCATATGTTGGCACATATTGATGCTTATTTTGTGTGTGTGTTTTAAATTAGAATTATTAATAACGATGTTTATCGTAATTTTTATAGCACACAAAGGAAATAGCACATTAAACACTAAAATTAATTTTCATCTCTTGGCTGAAAAAAAGACCTGTTTTAAACCATTATATACTTAGTAATACACATTTCCAGTAGGTACTTTCGACAGACCCTGTTAAAGGCACAATATGTAAGATTTTTTTATTAAAATATCCAAAAACCACTAGAACCCAGTCAAATGCTGTCGACGAATCGAATGAGTTGTTTGAAGGGACGGTTCACGGTTCAATCAAATCATTAGATTCAAAAGAATGATTCACGAATCTGACGATCAAAAAAATCATACTGCTTCATCAATGCATTGTGTCCAGAAATTGTTCATATTCTGTCTATTATATCAGAACATGTTATTGTATATTTTTATAATCTTTTTATTTATATTATTATGTTTTGCTTTTGTTTTGGGAGTTTGATATCTGTCAAAAACATGAAAGAGCATCATGGTCCCCAGGTTGCCTTTTTAAATGTTTGAACCCAAGAGTGTAGTGCTAATATTGAATTGTAACAATTGTAACGAAGCTAATTCTTACACATGGATGCAAACAGTATGTGACAAAGGCACAATTTTATGACATGGCAGTTTGTCCCAATACTTACACTTGTCTAAATTAAACTTAGGCACATTTCCATGACCAGTGAAATGCATAATTATAATAAACAGCAAAGCTTGGGTTTACAAATGAAGCGTGTAATTATTTAGGTTAAATTACTTCCTCTTATCTCAGGTCAACATGCAGAATACAATATGACCAAGCACATTTCAATTGGGGTAGTACAGCATTTATTCGGACGTAATTGTTTGCTTATCTCCATTATCACAATGGTTTCATTAATATGGTTTTATTGAAAATAATGAAAATTTTCCAATATCCATACTAAATAATATAATATTCAGCCATTCAGATCTGATGTAATTCAGCACAGTGTCACAGCTCTGGTCTGCAGTTTCCTGAATTAGAGTTTATGACCCCTCATGGGCCTTGGTACTGTACCATCCTAATACTGAAGGTCATACAATAGGTGTTTGGAACAGTACACTTTTCGTTTTTACAAAATTAGTTTTACATGCTAAAGAGTAACTAGCATAATGCATTCTGAAAGGAAAAACAGAAAGTTATATTGCTTTAGATATATCAACGATATCAGTGTCCTGGTGACCTCTCAGAGGGGCCGAAACTTTCTCTACATCTATATTTCATTTGTTTGATCATGTGTTTGAGTTTGACTAATCTGCAGAGGCAGATAACAAATATATCATTATAACTTTTAGAAATTTCTGTTTGGCACACTTTTTTGGAGATAATCGATACTTTTCAAGGACCAATGACTTAATATGTCACCTCAACATTGTCAAATCGCTCCTATGCCCGTAGGTTTTAGATCATGCTGGGGGCTGCACTGAACAGAATGAGGTCTCCCTCTATGTGCAGGCGAGTGACTTCCTCCATCCCGCCTGTTCTGTGCTCAAACTCCAGCAGATGAACGCCATCCATGGCCACTTTAAACCCGTCTGTCTCCACCAGGATCTTCAGCTGTACATACAAATACATTATATGAAACCTCAAATGAAACCCAATATGGCTTAAAGGAATAGTTCACCCAAAAACTGAAAAATTTGCTGAAAATGTACTCTCCCCATCCATGATGTAAATAAGTTTGTTTCTTCATAGGAACAGATTTTGGAGAAACTTAGCATTTTACATCACTTGCTCACCAATGGATCCTCTGCAGTGAATGGGTCACAGAATGAGAGTCCAAACAGCTGAAACATCCCAATAAACCACAAGTAATTCACACAACTCCAGTCCATCAATTAACATCATGTGAAGTGAAAAGCTGTGTGTTTGAAAGAAACATATCTATCATTAAGATGTTCTAACTTTAAACCATTGCTCCTGGCCAAAATATGGGCCCATAATCCATAACAACGCTTCCTCCAGTGAAAAAGTCCATGTCCTGTTGTCCTCTTACATCAAAATCCACCAACATATTTGTTTAGAACAATGATCGAGCAACAATGCATATTTATCTTATAATGCAGCAACAACCTTTTCACTGGAGAAAGCAATATGGATAGAGGACTCATATTTTAACCAGAAGCATCTGTTTAATGATGGATTTCTTTATTACAAATAAGGAGCTTTTCATTTCACAAAACATTAATTGATGGACTGGAGTCATGTGGGTTACTTATGGATTATTGTGATGTTTTAGCAGCTGTTTGGACTCTCATTCTGACAGCACCCGTTCACTGCAGAGGATCCATTGGTGAGCAAGTAATGTAATGCTAAATTTAACCAAATCTGTTCCGATGAATAAACAAACTCATCTACATCTTGGATTGCCCGAGGGTGAATACATTTTCAGCAAATTTAAATTTTTGGGTGAACTATTCTAGTTTGTTCCATAGTATGAAAAAAATACTATGGAAGTCAATGGATACCAGAAACTGCTTAGCTACCCACATACCAAAATATCTTCTTTTGTGTTCAGCAGAAGAAAGAAATTCATACAGGTTTGCAACAACTTAAGGTTGAGTAAATGATGGCAGAATTTTCATTTTTGAGTGAACTATTCCTTTAAGTTCCTTCTCTATGGGTAAATCAGAAGGCTGTACCTCAAACTGTCTGCCCTGCACAAAGGGAAAGCCTCCCTCCCTCTCCTCAGGACCCCAGCAGCCCCCAAGCTGTGTGTTCCGTACGATGGTGTTCTCATGGAAACGAGGGTTGAAATGGAAAACCACGTCATGCCCCCTCACAAAATCTACATGGAACCTGAAAAAAGAGAAGTGAGAGTTTGCTTTGGACACACAGAAGTAATGCCGTAATTTTTTTTTTATTACCTGTTTCCTCCTGGTACTGGCTCACCCACTATAGTAATCAGGAGACGGGGCATTATCCCTGCATGCAGCGGAAGATCATACGGCAATGGCTAAAACACACATATACACACAAGTTATTTGAGATGTTCTTAACAGTAAAAATGGGGCTCCAGAACCTATCCTTGATCCTTGTTATTGTGCGATTAACAAAATGAAAAAATCTGTCACAATACCAATAACTTCATAAATATCAGTCATGTTTAATAGTATTAACTGATACTAGTAACATAAAAAAAAAAGATTTCAAATATGCACCATTAACCACCAATATAGTATAGATATATTGTGCACCCCTAATTGCAAAGAAAACATCTTCTCTGCAAGCAGCTCCACCCGACAAACTATCCTAACATCCCAAAATCTAGGGCTGTGTGATATTGAAGAAAAATGCGATATGCGATACCTTGTTAAAAAATGCGATATTCAATATGCGATACGATATTGCTTAAAGTGTGTAAAATCAATTTAAATTATATTTTGAAATATTTAAAAATGAAAATTATATAACCAATTTGTTTCACATTCTTTCTTGGAAAAGAAAGAATCACTACAACTTCCTGTTCAAACATAAGGAGGAGATGCGAAAGACCAGGGCCGGCCCTAGCGTTTTGGGGGCCCTAAGCAGATTTTCAAAAGGGGCCCCCATACCTACAGTTTCACCTAACCACCCGCATCCCATCCCAATGTACACATCTTACACTGACACCTAATTGTAAAGATTTACCAATTTGTTTTACTCAATATATTTATCTTTCAAGAAATAGATAGGAAAATATATTTGGGTAGTTGACAAATATCCAGTAAAAAACGTTTTTTTGTAAAACACTATTCCTGGTCCTTCAACTAATTAAAGTTGTCCGTGGAGTTTAAAAACAGGATATGGTGTCACACCAGAGGATATAGTTTTCAGTGACATAATGTATGAAGTTCATATGCTTTTAGAAATATATGGATGAAAAAATGATTGCCAATTACTTACCGGAGGTGCTGAGCGCGCATTGCATTCTACAAGTTTTGTCAGACACTTACAGTGCGTGTCCACGAACGTTTTTAATTAATTCCTATGGAAGTTCAGCTTCAGAGAATGCTCCAGCTCAGCTCTGCTGTTGCCATCTCCACCATCATCTCGCCTTATTACTCCCGTGATTGCTGCCTGAACTCCTGACACGGGGCCCCTGGTGGCCACGGGGGCCCTATGCAGCCGCATATATCGCTTATTAGGTAGGGCCGGCACTGCGAAAG